AACCCTGAAACTACAAACTCAAACTTTGGAAACCCAAATTCAATTTCCCTTCCTCAGAGGTCTGGCTCAGTTTACTTATGTTTTTAATGCTCTCTATTGTTATGCGAGTATATTAATTTGCAATTTCGTATTTGAGACCATTTGAGTTGTTTCACTTTGAATAGCACTAAAACACCTGCAGTAGCCCCACCACATCACGACATTTGACATGACTCTAAGCTTTTTTTGGAGCTGTCACTTATTGTGCTGCTCATACGGGAAGATGGGGTCTTAAAATGGGGGAAAGTTGTCAACTATGGTCTGCCATGAAAATAGCTTTTAATCTCTGTCACCAGTCCCGTGTCAACAACAAAACTCTGGGTATTATTAATACAATGTGCCACATTGCAACACCACCATTGCATTGTTTGCAATCCCCTTTTGTTCCCTTCTCGCTGCTGCTCTGTTCATAATTTCCACATACATCACACAGACACACACAGACACAGTTGTTGAACTCTATTTGTTCTTCCGGAGAACTCATCTAGCCAAATTTGGCCAACGCTGGCGAGGGTTTTAGCAACACCATTATGTCGTCTCCAAATAAAATCCAGCTTTTTGTGTGTTTAGCCTAAGACCAGGTTCAGATCAAGACGTGTCGTAATATCGTCACACTAAGGGCCTTAATGCAGGACATTTTCTTCACAATCTGACCAGGAACGAAAGAGGGAAATGACATATGATGACTCATAAAAAAAGAATTTGAAAAATCACATGCCTTCCAATTTCCATCTAACCATAAGTCCATCTCCCTATACACATGCATGCATACAATAAATAGCTTGCAGCTGTTTATTTAAAAGCCTTTACATACAAACACAATTACGCGTCTGCTTTCATACAATTTGCGTCACATAAATTCGTCCACTGTAAAATGGTTTATTATTCTGGCTCCAGCAAGCAGAAAATGCGAGTTTTTCTTTCCACCCTCTCACAAAGGAGACCAGAAGGAAGCTCTACAACTGCCAAAATAAAACATACTGCCAAAACCAAGTTGTCCACTCATTTATGCAAGAAGAAGAGGGGACAAAAGAAGGTTTGCCAATCACATAAGAAACTGGACCGAAGAATTAAGAGAAGTCGCAGAAGATTCTCTGAACTGCGTGCCATGCATGACTTGAAGTCATAAAGTGGACGCAGAAGGTTATTCGCTAGTAAGTATATATTGACCAGTTTTGCCTCTTCTCATCCTTAGCATCCGGGCTTTTCCGTAGAATCGAACCATAAAATGTACCCGGAGGAGGGAGAAGAAGAAAGACTCGTTCTTTAATTTTCATTCCCATCTTTATATGTGGGACAATTCCTCCTCCAGCCGAGTTTTTGCAACAAACAAACGATCGAAGGATGTACAGATTCGTCAGAGAGTTAAGAAAGAAGAAGAAAAAGTAAAAGTGAAAAAAAAAACATTTCTTCCACGGGCTCAAATTCATCTTTGAAGAGTTAACCTCGGAGGAGGACGATGATATACTTCAAAGGAGAAAAAGTATCGGAACAATCGCAATATGTATGATGCGAAATGTAGCGAAACCAAATAACTCACTACATACATAGTAAAAAAAAGAGCTACCATGGTCCATTTTTCTACTCCCTTGTCTCAAGTTTCTGTCTCATCCAGGTCCCCTTTGAACATCAAATGTCACACACCACCACAAGCGCACCACGAAAATGCCAACTTCTAGTACTATTTCACAATATAAATCAATTTGTTTGAGTGTCCCCAACTTAAACCTTAATTTGAAGACTTTTTCCACATTCTTTACGTCAAAATCTTATAAATAATGTTATTCCAGGATCAAAGATCACATTTCTTTTGGTCATTAGTATTGCAAGAGAATGGCATCATCCATAATGCATGGGTGGAAATATTATGGGGTTCAATATAAAGGGCAAGTGTAATGAAATGTCTGTTTCTCAAGCTAAGAATGAACTTGGCTCAGACAATAGTACCAATAAAACCAGGAGGCCAGACACACATATCAATCGAAGAATGGACGGATGCTTATGTACAGTTTCTAGTTAGTGGATTAATTTCTCATTGTATTGATTGTGTATACATAAGAACAAGGTCTGGTACATGCATAGTAATGATTCACCTGCGTGCTTAGAAGAACATATAATAGCACTCCGCCGACACCGACTTTTCCATTTTGACCTACATTTATTCCCCACCTCTCGCTCGGATCCTCTCTGGGGACCAATTCAACCCGATTCTTGAAATTGCCTCTGATAATAATAATGCATAACATATAACGCCGTAAAAATCCTTATTATGCCGACTTGGCAGATTAATTGCTAGAGAGAGACGGAGAGCGGCCAATTTCTTTGTCTCCACATGGATGGATGCGTATCATTTGGTGCATATCTTTCTCCTCTCTTTTGTTGCAGAATGGCAAAAGTCGTGCCATTTTTCCACGACCACGACGACAACACAAATGATGCAGTCTAATGACTCCTCACTCAGCTCTGCTAAACGCACTGTATTTGTCACATTGTTGTATTAAGCAAGTTCAGTCACACGTAAATTCCAGGAATTTCCTATTCAATTCAAATTTTCAAGTTTCACACACACATGCATACGATGAGTTTGGCACACCGAAAAAATTCTGCTGAGAGACAATATTATGTGAGAGATGATCCCACCAATCCATTTTGCCTACATTTACCGTTTGATTGGTTAAAGCTACGAAAGCATTTTTATTGATTTACGTATAACGTATAGTGACCATACTTTTACGAGAATACTTACATGCACACCTGTGCTCCATCCCATCCTATTCTCCATTTCGATCCAATCTCAATAAAATGGAGAAAATGTTCCAAAATGCCCAACCCAGCCAACCGGAGAATATAATAGAGGTTGGATGTGAAATGTTGGCTGGTGGTGGTCACTCGGTTCCGAGAAATTGCTTCTTTTCGCCGTATACAAGGTACATAAATCGGAAGGACTGCTCTTTTTATGCTCCACGTTTAACCAGCCACCTACTAAATGAAATGCGTGAAGGTCCAGTTACCCAGTTTTCTTCGCTCCTGTTTAATTAATCAATCAGCCTGGCTAATGCAAGAGCGGACGGAAGAAAGGGCTCCACAGGGTGTCTTTCCCTTCCAGGAAAACTGCGGTCGACTCACTCAGATGAGATGACACTGCACTCTTTCATCCATCCAAAACAAATTACCATCAAACTGATTCCACTTCTGCTGACACAATCATTGCTACGTAATCAGCTCATTCTTAATATCCTTCTTATTAGTTTATTACTACCACGTACGTACACAATAGGAACGGATTGAATACATCATCTCTTAATCATTAGCTCAATTGCAGGGTGTCATATTATTCATGATTTAATTTAAGAATAAAAAAACTCATCGGCAAAGATTAATTCTTACAAAGGGATCGACATACGTACAAAATAAATATCTAGTGAAAGCTCACTGTGCTTATTTAATCAGAGGTAGCCTATTCAAAGCAATTCTAAGTTTGAATTTCAAACTATGTAAAAAATCACGTTGCCATCAATTAAATTTAAGAAGAAAATCCATAATGAGAACTTCAGTAGTGAGTAGAAATGTTGATCAATTATGATGATGTGACCACTCAAGTCTCCATAAGCTCAATAATTATAATGGTGTGACATCTCGCAATTCTAATGTTGAATGTGCAGTGATGTAGAAATATTAATACGAATTCGTATTTAGTACAGCATGTTAGGCAGCTATTGCAGTCTGCAATTTAGTTTACAGAACGAGGCGAAATTCCATACAGACAACAAGAACCAGAAAAAGTTTATTTATTATTTGTTTACTAAGGTCAAACCTTATAGATAATTGAAGCAACTCTTCATCAAAATTCTTTTTATGGTCAAAATTTCCTTTGGACAGGGGAGTGGCATTAATTCCAGTTTATGCAGTAGAGCATACGTCACGACATTATTTGCTACTGGAAGTTTGTCTCCAGCCAGAAAAGGACAACTTGTTTGTTTGCATATCAATTGGAATGAAGTAGGATGCCAAAACCTAGATCGAGTTTCCCTTATTTATTTAAAGGGCGAACCACCCACGGATTCCCTCTGTCTCTCTCCGTCGGTTAAGTAGGGGGCGAATGATATGATAACAAGTAGGATGGAATGCATGCCTTGTGCATAACTCCGCTATGTCCACACACTTTCTTTACATGTATAAACCTGCAAGAAAACAATTGTAGAGGGAGTCAATCAAAACGCGCTTTCGGTGAAAACAGCAAGGATTTCCAAGAGTTGACATGACAACTAGCTTTCGAGCCCCCTCCGGAGTTTCAATTGACGTTGACATCGGAAATTGGGGAAGCATTGGATGGATTTCTCTTTTCTTTTAGACTTCCATCACTTGAGCCATACCGACGGAGATACAGCACTTATTTGGAAATTATTATGACATGAAGAGGAAGATATTTCCAGTTTTTGATTTCCACCCTCCTTCTCTTTTCAATCATCATCAACCTTAATCAAAGTTCCACAAAGAAAGACGCATTCCTTAACTTTTGCGAGATGCGACAAATTTATAGGCATCCAATTCCACGCTAGAAATGTTATAGTAAGTTATCAAACTCCTGGCGATGAATTAACATACATTTGAAATAAATTGTGATTCTGTTCTTTCTCCCAGCATCCCATAATAATTTTACAAATTTATTGCAAAACCGAATTTTATATGCAAATGTAGTAAAATAAGCTTTGCTTTTATGTAAATTAGGAGATAGTCAAATGAATGGCTTGGTACACTTGGGGATCATCCACTTATTACATTATGTAATAACGCTACCTGAATTAATTCCCCTTCAATTTGGTATTTGCCTAAATAAAGTATTCTGAAGCTAAAGACGTTTAAATCTTACTTTTCATTCCTTAATTTTGACTCACTTGTCACGCAATCATTGTATGAACATCATTCTCTCGAAGAAAGAAATACGCGGCAGCTTCCCGGCCAACACAAAATTCCACCCAGTCGGTCGCCAGAACTTGAACGAGGCAGCCTTGATTTCCAATTTTCCACAAATTTAGTCGATTTCCTTTCGAAAAAATGTCACAAAAGTATAAAATGGAGATTGAAACTGAATCTGCTACAACTAGCGCATGCGGCGAGCGCCCCTTCAGGCCGCCTACACCTCCGATGAGTACTTCCACTTCGTTTCCCCCACTCTGGGCGAATCCGACTACCAAGAAGATGGCGATCCGGTACGGTCCCAATGGCGAAGTCAACCACATCAATGTCGGCGTTCTGGAGGATCTGGAAGCAACCTTTATCGAAAAGCGATTGGAGGTCGTGCAAGAAGATGGGTTTCTTATCACTCCACTGCACATTGTTAAGAAATTGGCCGAAAAATTCAATGCACCGATACATTCTGAGATTTACATTTTTCACCAGGGAGAAATTTCCGATTTTCGACGCGTTGAGATCATGATCGGGAGAGCACGAGGTAACAAATAATATAGTAATAATTGTAGACTTAATATTGTGAATTTAAGATGGAACAAAATTAAGTTTGAGAATAATTTCCTATGTATGTAGGCATTGGACAAGCACCGGCCAAGGGGCTAGCGTGTCAATTAGCTGCGATCGACATGATGGAAAAAATGAAGATTTATAATCAAGAAGAATTTCCGCCGTATGGGCTGCCTCCAGGATTGCGAATTAATCCCAGGGTTTTGAGTCATTTGAATGCCCTGTGTCACGTAAATGGGTTGCAACCACCTAAGATTGAAGTCACAGAATCTGGAAAGCCGTTTGCGGAGCGGGAATTATACGACTGTGTGGTACATGTGGGACAGATAAGAGTTGAAGGCGAGTAAATTTAATTTTTTCAATGATTGTTAGTACTGACTATCATTATCCTTCAATTTTTAATGCGTGCAAATATAATTATTTAGCAAAGAGCGATAATCGATTCTTGGCTCAAAGAATTGCCGTGCGAGACATGTACAATCGAATTTCGACTGAACCGTATCCTGATATGCCGCTTGCAATGGGAAGCGAATGCGTTGGAATGGTCCGACTTCGAGAGCTTGGATTGCGCCCATTAATGTCGGCTGCGGTAAGCAATTACAAAATTACTACTATTTTAATCACCCCCACAAGTTTTAAAATTGTCAATTTGACCTGACCTGTGACCTTTATATTTTTTATTGTTGCAGAAGCGAGACTGGTTGGTTCAATACCGTGGACTAGGCAATGGGAAATTGGTGCAACACCTTGAAGAAGAGCCAGAGGATGGCGACTTTTTGGACCCGGAGGATGTCCTCCCATACGTTACGGAATGCCACATTCCCGATCCTAATGACTTTGAGATGTGATTTTGTATTTCTCCTGGTTTAATGAATTATTTTTTTCTCTACTGTTGGATTAATTTTTGGTTTTGTATTTTTTGACTTCAGTTTTACACGTCACAACCGACCAGTAGTTCAAGTTTCAATAAAAACTATTGTTTTTGTTATTATATTTATGCCGTGTTGCTGCTATGGTATGAAATCACATTTTTATCTATACATGTTATACAGCATACAAAATTTGGCTTACCGGTTAATATTTGGAAGTCGTTTTAATTAGACGTAATTATCACTGGAAGACGTTGGTTTGCTTTTGCACCATCAATCACTCCACGCCAAATAGCACAGGAATTTACTCTACAAATTGGCAATCCAAGTTTGGAGTTAATTAGTTATTTCGCCTCCCGTTTCTAAAAGTCAACAACTACCAAATTCACTCTATTCCACTGAACCGTGTAACAAATTTGCTAATATAAAGAATCAAATCAAAGGCACTGTTGGATGATTGGTTAAAACTAAACATGAAACAATTGGTTATGTATGTTCGAGTGAGTATTTAATTTCCAAGTATTTCCACTTTAATCTAAATGTTGATAAGCAGTCTACTTGACTTCCACACGGTTGAAACTACAGTGAGTGTGAACAAAAATCTTGTAGTAAATAGTCAGTTAGTTTAGTTGCTGCACATGATTCGAAAATACACTGACAACACTTTTAAAAATAGGATAAAATGCGTTGTACGATGATGGCTTAATTTAATATAATCGTTCAAATATTTACTCCTTATCACAGTTTCGTAGGACCCTGCAGGGTCTTGCTTAAATTAAGAAGGCTCCTCTCCTACACTGTCTCTTACAGAGATTTGTAGCTACACCACGAGTGGTTTTGGATGGTGGCAAATATTTTATGTTGTGGAGAGAGTCATACCACCGTTGGTTGTTGGGTTCTGGACCTGAACTGGGCTTAAAACTGCCTGTATTGATATTTTCGCCTTTTTTTAGGTACGTACCACTCGCTTCACCAAAACGAACCAACAACAACTTTCTTAAGTGGCACTGTCGCCTCGTTATAAAGTACGAGCATTTCAGAAGGGTAGAAGAGGAATGAATAATATGGACAGCCTCAGAATTTGCCTTCTGTAATTTCCAAAGATCTTCCAAGTAACTTATGTATATGAAGAAGGGTGGTTTAGAAAGGTTCGCTTTAGACAGTCCAATCCCACACCGTTATATTGATATATGTTATCGTGTTATAGAATGTAATGTGTAGTTTACTCTCACAACAAGATAGCCACTAAACTCTCACTCGAAGGTTTTTTAGCATCTGGCTGCACTATTGTCGTCCATGAGGCCTTATATCTCTAACCTAATATATCGTCGCACTCGGCAGCAGCATAGTTTTGTAACACCATGTTATCATCGCCAGTAGTGGTGGTAGGTTGTGCATGGTTTTATATGAATCTCTCTTTCAGCAAGCAAGCAGCGCATCTTTACTTGCATGCACGAAACTATGAGAACTAGTTAGTTAGCTGCTCACGATGATGGGGTTTGATGGCAGTATCTCTGGTTCGCAGTACTCGTGTGGCATCAGTTACAGTTTAGTGCTAGATGAAGATGAGGGGTCTGATTTTGCTAAAGCCTGAAAAGGGTGAGACGAGCAAAGATCTGCACAACAAATCGCACTGATTTTCATGGGTGAGAATATCATGAATGAAATGAAATGGATAAACGACGCCTGTACGTGGGCAAGGAGCAAAATGCAAACCTGGCTGATATCTCCTGGACTATTGGCAGATGAGATATCCGAAAACTAATTGAGGCTCTCTCTTCCAAGCCTAATGTTTATGTTGATTCCGATTATGAGAGTGAAATAGTAGTAGAAGTGAAACATTACGTGGCAGAGATGGAATCATCGCATCACTTTCATCATTTATCAGTCAGTCCGTTTATCATAAATGTGTGGCGCATGTATGCATCGAGCCAGCGTCCCATTTCCAGGAAACACTTTAAATGATGACCGAAAACCACACTTTGCCAACATCAAGACACATCATGCACTTATTTTCTCTCTATATCTCTCTCCCTTTGTAATGCTTGTAAAGTGAGGAAATGTATATATTCGCACGAGAAGTGTGAAGTTTTGCTTCACACAGAGCAGCACTTTTGAGTGAAAATGGCAGAATTATGTGCAGAGACCACTGAAAATAGAGAAAGCACACAGCACACTTAACGACCAAGTGAACGAAGTAAATATATATTGCATGAAAATGGATTCAAATGACACTAACATTAATAACTACTTAGCCGCTTAGAGCTGAGGACATTAGTCCACAAGTGCAAATAGACACAACACGACTACTGAGCATCTCTCTCTCTCTCTGTGTCCATCCATCCGTTTAAGTGTACTATTCAGAATCATCTAGCTGCATGGACTTGTGTATGTGCCTTAGGTGGGAGGATGATGACGAAAAATGGGAAACATCATGTTCCTCTTATAAAAACTCCCAACTTTCTGCGATATTTATTTAATAAGGAGGATCGAATCGAGTAAGCCGTGTAGTCAGCAGCCTTTCCCCGAATTTCTCCTCTTTTCGGTGATGTCATTATAGAGAAAGTTGGCCGTGTGAGTGTGTTTTCCTGCCATTTGTAAGAGAGAATTGTGTAAATGACTCCTGCAAACATGAGAAGGTTGATAAAACCTCTGGCCTTTATTCATTTGCACAAACACACACACAATGCAATTGGTCTTGGTGTAGATCGGTGCGGTGAGGTGGTCTCGTCCTCTCTCCTCTCGTGGTCGTCCTATGCATGAGTTTTGCGAAATTGCGAATTCCACAGACGTACAGCGTAGTATGAGAAGAAGGACAAGATTCGGTTCATACTCGGGTTCGGGATTAGTGAATTCCTGGCAAACCGGAGATTCTGCCTACACAAAAAGTTTTGCGTCACATTATTAACATTTAGCATATAATGTAAGAAGAAGAAGGAAAGAGTTAGTTGAATGGAAACAAGCAGCAAAAAAAAAGTTGCAAAAGTATGCATCCCAGCTCCCGGTTCAAGTTGTAAGAGTATTTCTAAACTTTTGCGTATTAATATTAACATTATTGCAATACATACATCATCATAAGCCACCATCTCGGAGGAGCTACCTCTGCTCATAATATTCATATTATTATAACGAGTAAAAAATCCAGAGCCAATGAGACGCAGTTATTTTTCTTGATTTGCAAATTGCCAAAGTCAACCAACCCGAACTCTGCCCAAGCTCAAGCTCAAATTCACTAAACTTTTTCAGTCCGTCTGCATCTCCATTCTCCGCCAGCATCATCGTGCAGCTTGAGCTACATAATCTACTCGGCGGAAGGGAAAAATAGAAGAATATGCACAATATAAAGTTACAAAAACTAATGGCTAATGGATCCAACTACTTATTCGTGCACACATGCAACGAACTGAGTTGACGTATCCATTTCGACCTCAAACACCTCAATTCTGAATAGCGTCCAGAGCACTGGATAGCGGTGCATGTCAAAATAATTGTCAACCTTTTTGTCCTTGTACATATGTCCTTCTGGACGGCATGCAACATCGTAGTTGAGCACTACACATTTCAGGGCTTTTAATAGCAGATCAGCTATCTGCCCTGTTATCATGAAAGTCTTCTCTTACACGATGTACACCATTCTACCAAAAAAAACTAAAATAAAAAATACGAATATGCAAATCCAAGTTCGTCTTCATTTCTTTATACGCATAGTTTTTTGTATTCATTTTCCAGAAGAATAAGAGAGGGATTTATTGGGAATCCTTTGTTATGTTCACGATTTATTTATTCTCGGTTTGTGGTTGGGAAACATTTTTATCACATTTTATACGTCTCCCTCGTTGCAAAGAGGTGATAGAATGAGAGACGATAAATAAATCCCTTAATAATCGTGATTTCTATCTTTCCCATACATCATTCATATTCCGTAGAGATTATGCATGCCCACCGATGCAAAAGTCTCATTTACATACACGTGGAGTCGGACTTGGAGGAGAAGGAGGTTCTATTTTGACATGGACGAGGAATCAAGGAATATTGCCAACTTTTGCTGCTCAAGTTATTGCAAATAAGTTGTTGGTGTTTTGCACTCTGCCACCACCACCGAACTACGACCACCACCACCTTGATACCACACCGTGAAACGCACGGAAGACTCCTGTCGCCGGCCTAACCTCCTTTAAACATATTAAGAAAGAAAGAAAGACTTTCGAGAATCGCCCACTCACTCACGTCTCGCAGCGAATAATATCTTTTGTTTTTCGCATGCTCTCTTTCCAGGCGTATTTTGCAGTCTTAAATCATATCACACCGTCCGCGAGCTCTTTCGCATCGAAGATATTCAAAATGTTCGACCAATGAATACCAAATGCGACTCCTACCAGAAATTTTTAGGGCTTGCAAAATAATTAAAATGAATACAAATTGGCAATATATCCGAAATATGCAAATTAAAAATGAATGTAGTTTTCATTTTACATCAACTCAATTTAATATGAAATTTTCCAGGACGAGTGAGACGTTGCAAAAAAAAACAACGACGCAAATCTTTATGAACTGTCCTGAATGATGGATTTTCAGAATTCGACTCTCAGCCCTCAGCACTCGAGTTGTCCTCAGGGTGTTGAATGATGTGAAGGCAGACCAGCTTCATTATTGCGACCAACAGGCAACAATCTCACAGGCGTCACTCACGGCAGAGTGACAGCCAAGTCTCGCCCAGAAATGTTTCTTCAACTCTGCCAGCAAACTAACCCCACAGTTTCATCAACGAAAGACAAAATATTTAGAAAAAAATTTGCACCATGTATGAAAAAACGTCAAGTTTTAAACTTTTTTTTAATGCTTATTTATCATTATCAACAACACCATCCTCCTCATCCTTGGAACAATATTGTCAATGTCAGTCAAAACAATCTGAAAAATTTGAGCATTTCTCCATTTCTAATTCTGAAAGCAAACATCGGATTGCAATGAAATTGGCTAGAGCGAGATTTTGCAAATGTATGAGAACGCGAATGGTGTGGGATGATGTTGAATGCAAAGAACAGAATTTAACACGAGCCAACAAATCAAATTTCTAGTTAGGTAAGCCAAAATATTTCTCGGTATTTATAAACAAGAAATTCTAGTCGGGATAAATACCAATAAAACGAGTACTAATAACTGGTATTCCTTGGGATTGGTGTATAATAAATAAATGGCAAGCTCCCCGCTGATTGACGCAACTAAACATTTTATACTGTGTCGTACATATGCCTATTAATAATTTTCAAGAAACTTTAATTTTGACAACAACTACCTTTATTGATAGTTTGCATATGATGGCCTCCATGGAACTGCATGTAGCCAATAAAATATTCAGTCCCATCCAAAGTTTTCCACGAATTTGGAGACAACATAAAATGCTGCTAAACGAGCACGATAAATTGCAATGAAGAACAAAAGAACTGTACTCACGTCCAGGTTCGATGCGACAAAATATTGGAAAACTGTTCGGAATAGCTTACAATTTGCAAAAGCAAGTAAATATTTTACGAATGACAAGTATTCGTTATTGTAATACCAGAGATTCCGAACTTTGAAACATGCGGCTGTGGTATTTTTATGACTTTAAACGTAGCTTGAACAATAAATGTATCTACATATGTACATACCTTGACTGGAATTGCTAAAGTTCTTGCTTTCATCTTTCATTGTCATTGATTTCATCAAATTTAAATTAGGAAAATGTTACCTTGAAGGGACCAATGTCACTCCATAAATACGCAATTTCTTCGAAGCTAAAAATATAAAAGTGTCAAAATCTATGTCGAGTGGTAGGCTCAAGTTTTTCAGTTAAAGATTCATGAAAATATATGCGAAAATATAACAAGTTCCTATCAACCAAAACTCCATTAAGACCGCTTAATGCTTAGTTCAATAAAGTTGGTAATTATAGAAATAATTAAATTCGCAAAGGCTTGGCACACAGATTACGAGACATCATATTCATATGGTCCATAAAGTAGCGGATAATCTTATTACAAGTATATGTATGTATGTTCTTGGATATTCATGTATTCTGCACGTAGTAATGCAAGCACGTACACAATGTTTTCATGCAAATTAGAATGCATACATAATAACATGCTATTTATTATGCTTGCATAACCAAAATTTACACTTCTACATAAGACGTGATTAGTTTTAGAAACAGATTCGGTGACAAGAAGACATGAAGATAAATTACCATTCGAACAACTACTGAAACTTG